TTTTTTTTTTTTTTTTTTTTGGTTTATTGTAGAGATGAGGTCTTGCCAAGTTGCCCAGGCGAGTCTCAAACCCGCGGGCTCAGACAAATCCACTCATCTCAGCCTCCCAAAGTGCGGGATTACAGGCTGAGCCACCAGGCCCGGCTTTTACTTACCTTTTCTACGTTTAGACACACACATACATTGTCACAATTCCCTGCAGTATTCAATACAGTGCATGCTGTCTATAGCCTAGGCAGTAGACTATACCATATATCCTAGGTGTACAGTGGGCTATACCATCTTAGGTTTGTGTAAGTACACTCTATAATGTTTGTACAAAGACAAAATCATCTAACAATGCATTTCTCAGAACGTATCCCTGTCATTAAGTGATGCATGACTGTACTACTATACACAAAGAGCAACTTAAAAGTCGCTAAGGTGTTGTCAAAATGAGATGCACCCTCATTCCCTACCACAATTATCAGTCAGTTCAGAATAAGGGCCCATCAAGGAAATTCATGTCTTCCCATTATGATGGATATAATTTACTTATCAATTGTCAACACTTATAGCAAACCTATGAAAATCCCTGACTTCTCCTGATGTTATTTAGGCAGGAGCCGAATGTTACAGATCTGTGTCTTTACAGTATCCCAGATTTTACATAATTAGGAATGTTCTTTTGGAAAACTGGTCCCTACATTTCCATTTTGCCTTTGGATTCTTTCATTTCTCAAGTGGCAAATATAATGTTCCATACTTCGGTTTAATCAGCAGGTTCTTGTTTAAATGACTGATTGCTACTTTTAGGTAAATCTGACATTTTTACTTCTGCATCAGTGTATACTAACAACAGCTTGTCTTCACATAATGCCACTAGGCTGTATTCTTAAATTACATTCATATGGTCACCTCAACAGGTCCTAACGGGTTTCCCAGGTACAAACTGTGACATAATTTGTCTTCCTGGCAGTTAAAATTGTCAAAGCATTCCCTGGGCCTTCCCTTTTGCTCCAAAGTAAAGGTAATTTTTTTCTTTTGGCTAGGATTCAATTGCAACTGGCACATATATTATGAACATATGCTGTCAAAAGGAAAGAATTCTCTGACAGTGGGGAAGGTATATAAGAAATTTAATGACTGGCCACCTTAAAACCTAATAAGAAAACTTTCTACCTCTGTTACGTGTCTGGCAATAATACACTCAAGAAAAAATGGGGTTTAGCTTTAAATCCTGCTGGCACACTGCAGAAGATAAACTAAAAGAAGAGAACTAAATATACTGAAATGACTAGTTAAGTGTGTTTCTGATTTTGGCATTTACTAAATGGCAATACTACTAAGAAGTGACACAGCAGAATTTCACTAAGATCTTAATACACACATTGGCATTTAGTTCTGGCCAAACTTGATGCTAAATCATGTCCCCCCCCCCCCACATCACCACCATGTAGCAAAACTATTTAACTATTGTCTTCAGCAATAGGGAAGTTGTCTATCCTTTTAACCACAGTTTCACAAAAGGGCTCCACCCTTTTTAACCATAGGGGCTTAGTCTGACCTAAAGAAAAATCCTCCAGAAAATGTAAATACCTTAAGATGCTAGTGATCACTGTCCTGTCAATGTGAAAGTGAATACCATACAGTCTAATTTCACAGGAGGCTAAAAAAACCTCACATGAGATAAAATTATCCATAGTACCATAAATGACTTTTCTTTTTAACTGAAGGAAAAAAATACAAATCTCTATAAAATAATTTCATTTTTAAGAACTATTTTATAAACATTTCATTTATTTGAAAATACTTTGCTTAAAATGTTTATTCCAAATTTTCATAATATTTCTATATTAATCCTGTTTAATGTCAAAACTGACAGTTGATTTATTTTAAGCTATATAAAAATGTCAATAGTGAAGTCACTTAATATTTTTTAATTACTTTCCACAATATACTATATATAAACTCCAAAGGTGAAGCAGTATCTCCTAATTAATAAAGTTATGAATAAGAATTAAGAGTGGTATTATGTAAAAAGAAAAGATTTCAATGTAGCAAATACAGATGGCTCTGTGGCTCCAGAAGGGGTAATTTTACACCAAAAAGGCATCAAAAAAATTGACTCTAGACTCACTTTAAAGACAAAGGAATTACAAATGAGAATAATTATAAAAGGACTAGAAAGAACAACTTACAAAAATACGAATAGGAACTATAGCTAGTGAATTGTATTTATATTTCATGACACTGAGAAGTAGGTGCTAAGTAATGTTTTATATAAAATATTGTATATAGGGTGGAAAAAAAAGCAGTCTTAAATATTCCAGAATTTTCTTTACCAAAGTACCTTACTAAATAAAAGGAGAGAAAAGAGTCTGTAAATTTTCCTCAATTAACACACATGAGAACAATGTACTGTTGTTTCAGAATAATACAATGTTTAATGTTTTTTAAAAACTATTAAATTTTTTAACATTTTAAAAAACTGTTAAATATAAACTGTTTAAAATAAGCTTTTAAAAATGTGGACATCAACAAAACATTATCTCATTTTCTATTATAGGTCTTAAAATATTTATACAGACTCGCAAGCTGAGGGTACATATACTAATTACAGACAGGATATTTGTTCTTTCCTCTCTACACAGTTTATCTTCCTTATAAAGCCCATATACATGAACTGATCTGGGTCCTAATTCTACTCTAACAATTCCAAAATACTCTTATAAAAGTAAATTTAAGACCAAATAGATTTTTTTTCCCAGCTTGATCTTGGTAGTCCTCAAAGTTGGTTCTCAAAAAAATTTTTAAAACTCACAATATAATATTATTAGCCAAAGTGGTTTCTATCAAGTCTTTTGCCAAACTCTCAAATCCCTTATCCCTTCTCACTGACACATTTATCCTATGGCCACTAATAAAAAAGATCAATCTGCCTTTTCTCTAACTCTCCACTGCTAACATTTAGGCCGAGAGCACTTGAGGTTGAGGAGTAAAAGAAAGAGAATCACAAAACAAGGTGGAATAATACCCACTCTTCCCCCTAAAAGTTTACCATCTCCAAACCTTCAGCATCATTCATACCCAGGACCTGTCTTACTCTCTTAAAGGTGTATCAAGGAGATAGTGACGAGACAGTGATAAGAACTGAAATTTCCAGTCTTGATAAAACTGTGCATATATATTGACTTCCATTCAACTTTGTCTTTCCACTCTATCTCAGAAGTAGTTATCCTTCTGTTTAAGACTGATAGTTTCTTATCTGCTCAAAGATGTCTTCTCAAACTCTTAGGAAACTTGCCTCATCAATTAGCATCCCACCTCCCCACATCATCTTCCTCTCTGTAGTCTTTTTGTCCTCAACATATCTTTGTGCTCAAGTCTACACATGTTAAAAAATAAAAATTAAAATAGAATAAAAACTGGTCTTCAATTTAGCATCTTCTTCTACCTACTACCATCTTCCTGCACTGAGGCAAATTTTTTGAAACAGTGGCTGTATTTGCTACTCTCCATTTCACAGGTCTCCTCAATGACTGCTTCTTAAAATAATGAAACTTGACGTGCAAACCCATCACTCCACTAAAATTGCTTTGGCAAGGTTTCTAATAGTCTCATAAATGCCAAATTCAGTGGTCACGACCTTTCGATCTGTTTTAGTTGACCTCTCTGTAGCAGCTGGGAACATGAATCTCTCTGCCTTTACTATTAAAATGTTGGAGTTCCCAATGGATCTTGGACCATCTTCTCATTTCATATCCTCTTTCTATGGCTTCAACTATTTTCCATAAGCAGAACATTACCAAATTCTTATTGCTAGCCAAGACTAACATAAGCACTAGACCAATATGTAATTCAGCTACTTATATGTATTTATCAACACACTATATACACCCCAAACTCAATAGTCAGAAACTAAATTCATCATCTTTCTTCCAAATCTACTTCTCGTATGTGAGTTAACAATACTATCTCCTATAGAGCTAGAATTTGGGATTTACTGAAGACTCATCCCTGGTTTATAATTTACACTGACTTCTTGTAGGGAGGTAAACCAATGAATGTCCTCAATTTTCCCATTGCCAGAATTGGGATAATCATGTCTTTCCCCATCCGCTTCACCACGAAATCAGTAAGATACATTAAATGATATATGTTCAAATGTTTGATTTATGTGCAAGAATTTAAAATTCTTCCTTAGTGGTTAAAGGCCACACTTCATCTGCTCCAAACTCAGAGCAACAGGGTACTCATGACCGTTTCTCTCATCCTTGAAAACTCCCAATATCAGGAAGTTAAAATTTTCATTGCACTGGAGCTGACAATAAGTTTCAGAGCTTAAATTAATTTTTTCAGTATTCTGTCAATGCCTACAGAGGGTTCAGCATGAAGCTATTTTAACTACAATGATTCTGTTTCTGTACTGATACTAAGATTTCTTTAAAAATATATATATAAGTGCCTACCAGCTATGTTCAAAATAGAATGGGAGACACAAAAAGAAGATTCAGCTCCTGCCCTCTGTAAATTTATAATCTAGCTGGAAGATACTAACTTCACACAAATACTACATCATGGAAACCTGCAAGTGCAATCAGTGGTATTATAAAAAAAAATTCCCAAGTGAAAATAATGAAGAATAAACCTTCAGAAGTTCTTGGAAAATAATGAAAAAGCAAATGGTAAACAAACTATAATTACAAGTCATCCAAATGAGAAACTAGTTTTATATTTCTAATTTTCAAGAAGATGTGGCATAAAGCAAGACTCTTCCTCCTTTACAACACAATTACCTTTGCTTGGGACTGATTTTTTCACCGAGGCTACATGATCTTCAGAGATTGCAAGGCGCCTCAAAACATCAGCCAAAGCTGCCTTCAGCACAGTGATTTCATCTTCTTGCTGTTGAACTCGTGACTCAAGAGCTAAGAGGCGATCTTGAACATCAGAAGTACTTGCAGCAGAAATACTATCATCTATAAAACAAAATATGCAATATTTTTAAGTAAACTGCTTGAGAAAGAATTTCTGATTGAAGAAAACAATACAAGTCTTTTAAAAAAATGAGAAAAAATAAATTTTGATCCCCACAGCATTCCATCATCTTTATACAGATTAATTTCTATAAAGGTTTTCATAACTATCTTAACTAATTTAAAATAATAAAAGTTGGGCCGGGCTCAGTGGTTCAGCCTGTAATCCCAGCACTTTGGGAGGCCGAGGTGAGTGAATTGCCTGAGCCCACGGGTTCGAGATCCGCCTGGGTAACTTGGCGAGACCTCATCTCTCCAATAAATCAAAAAAACTAGCTGGGCGTGGTAGCGAGCGCCTGTAGTTCTAGCTACTTGGAAGGTTGAGCAGAAGGATCACCGGAGCCCAGCAGGTTGAGGGTGCGGTGGCTGGGAACATGCCACTGCACTCCAGTCTGGGCAACAGAGGCGAGACTCCAATTCAAAAAAATAAAAAGTTAATGCATTTGACAAATAATTAAAATGATGAAAAACTTTCCCCATGGTGAGTGAAATTTTCCCTATATTTATGTCATCACCTTAATTGGTTTTATCACCAAAATGTTCCATAAATATATCACTTTGGGTCAGGCATGGTGACTCATGCTTGCAATCCTAACATTTTGGGTGGCTGTGGCAGGAGGAATGCTTAAAGCCAGGAGTTCAAGACCAGCCTAAGCAACATAGCAAGATTCCATCCCTACCAAAATAAAATAAAAAATAAAAAATTAGCCAGGCCTGGTGGTACACGCCTGTAGTTCCAGCTACTCAAGAAGCTGAGGTGCCTGAGTCCAAGAAGCTGAGGCTGTGGGCAACTGGGATCATACCACTGCACTCCAGCCTGGGCAACAAAGTGAGATACCAACTCAAAAACTAAAAAAACAAAAGAAAAATCACTATGTAGACATCCATAAACTTGCAAGAGAGGAAACTATTTGACATGTCCTTCTTAATCACCACATCAGTATTACATTTATTATACTTCCCTATGAAAATAAAAAAGGAATACAAATCACTTCTGTTTTGCTTTATGTATCAAATAGAAAACCCATCACTTTTATCAGCAATGATGACAAAGCACCCTTCACTTCTACCTTTACTATAATACTCTCCCAAAAGGCAATGTAATTATGTAGTTAGCAAAATTCTTTTTTGCTGCTTTCTCTCCACCTAATACCTTGATCTCTCTAAAGAAAGTCATGAATTTTAAGTACATACCTAATATTTGCCTTATAATAACAACAATAAAGACTATTTAAATAGGGTTTAGTTAAAACACAGCAATTACAAAGTACTTCCAAAGCTATGTAAATTGAGAGTATACTATTGTATTTGTTGGATTAATCAGAATCCAAATGTATAGAAAGATCAATTGCTACTGGTTAATTCACTATAAGCAGAGAAATTCGGGGGGAAATAACTAACTGTAAAAAACAACCTTGGCTTACACTGTGGGGTCTGGACAAGAGAGAGGCAATTTAAACTGGGTCAGTAATTCAGACAATAAGGTAGAGTTTACTGCTTTTATGGCAAGAATATGCTATGGATCTTCAAAAAAAGTTTGAGTTAGCCAGGCTTGGTAGCTCAGTCTGTAATCCCAGCGCTTTGGGAGGCCGAGGTGAGTGGATTGCCTGAGCCCACAGGTTCGAGATCCACCCGGGCAACTTGGCGAGACCTCATCTCTACAATAAATCAAAAATTAGCCAGTTGTTGTAGTGCATGCCTGTAATTCCGGCTACTTCGAAGGCTGAGGCGGAAGGATCACCAGAGCCCAGCGGGTCGAGGCTGCGGTGGCCGGGAGCGGCCACTGCACTCCAGTCTGGGCGACAGAGCGAGACTCCAATTCAAAAAAAAAAAGTTTGAGTTAAATAAAAATAAATAAATTAAATAAAGTTTGAGTTAAATAAAACAAAACAAAATGATAAAGTCATATTTAAAAACCAAAGCTATCACCATCACATTATGGAATATTAAACAATACTCATATTTAAGATCATGTATGCTGGTACGTATATGTACTGTCTTCTCCCTTTAGTGGTATTTTATTGATAGTCTTTGTGAAGTACTGTTATTGAAGGAAAAGCTGAGTTTTGTCTTTGAGACTTCAAATTCTCTTTGAGACTTAATTTCTTCATCTTTAAATAGGATTGCTATGAGGAATCTTAGAATATATGCCTAGAATATGCACAAAGTACAAAAGGTATAATTTGAGAGCTTTGAGCACATTTGTTACTTAAAGACGGATGTGTTAAACTCTGAGATGCATAAGAAATGGAATAATAAGAACAATTCAGTCTTTCATCTTAGTTTTAAATTTTCACTTCCATAGCGGTCTAGCTAAATTCTAGCTGATCCATACATACTCTGTGTGCTAGACATTGGTTACTATTATTTTTTTATTTTTTATTTTTTTTGAGTTGGAGTCTCACTCGGTCGCCCAGACTGGAGTGCTGTGGCCACTCCCGGCCACCGCAGCCTCGACCTGCTGGGCTCCGGCGATCCTTCCTCCTCAGCCTTCCGAGTAGCCGGAATTACAGGCATGCGCTACCATGCCCGGCTGATTTTTTGATTTATTGTAGAGATGAGTTCTCGCTGCCCAGGCGGGTCTCGAACCCGTGGCCTCAGGCAATCCACTCACCTCAGGTTACTATTATTTTTACTCGGAGTGCTTCCCTATTTCCCTTCTTGTGATAGGAAAAACAGCAGCTCTTGTCTTTTGCAAAACTCCACCATATTTCTATGTCCTACTAGGGCTCCCAATCTATGATAGCTAAGTCTTCCCTCTACCACTCCATACTGTTAGGATGAGCCACATAAAATGGCCTTTTTTGGTTGGTATAACTATTACTGGCTATTAGAAATTTTATATGGTTCAACCTAATACTACCACAGAAGTAGCCATGAGATACAGGTTAGACCAAATTAAGTCCTTCCAAATTTCTCAGAGATGGAGGAGTAGCTCCATCTTCCTTCGAGGTTCTCCAGCTATAAGGAGGTAGGCCTCAGAGCTGTCTGGAATAAAGACAGTTCTAATTACCCTGAGTTCCAGTTCTAGTCTCTGAAGCATTTGGTCCTTCAATTCTGAGAGCTGCTCTAATATTCCTCCCAACCAATTATGTAACCTAATAAATTCACTTTCTGCGAGCCACTACTTGTAAGCCAAGGATCCTCATTAAGTCCGTAAACTATATGGTATGCCTTTCTAATTGTTCTCATTTATTTTTATTTTTCATTTTTTTGTAGAGACAGAATATTGCTATGTTGCTCAGGCTGGCTTCAGTGATCATCCTGCATTGGCCTCTCAATTGCTGGCATGAACCACAGTGACAAACAATTGTTTTCAATTTATAAAGGATGAGCTATATCTTTAAATTAGACTCCCAGATAAAATACTCATGCAATTTAATAAACATGTAACTTGCTTATTTTGGAAAGGCAGCAGAGCTTAGTGGAAAGATTATCAGACTATAATGCCAAGGTTACAGGGTTGGTTTTTTGTTGTTGTTTTAAAGTTGGAGTTTCACTCTGGAGCCCAGTGGTATGCTCATGGCCACTGCATCCTCAACCTGCTGGGCTCAGGCAATCCTTCTGCCTCAGCCTTCCAAGTAGCTGGAACCACAGGTGTGTACAACCATGCCTGGCTAATTTTTTGATTTACTGAGTCTCACCAAGTTGCCCAGGCTGGTCTTGAACCCCTGGGCTCAGGCAATCCTCTCGCCTCAGTCTCTCAAAATGCTAGAATTACAGGTGTGAGACACTGAGCCCGGCCCAGTGCTGAGTTTTAGTTCCAACTTGATAACTAACTTTTTTTTACCTTTGGCAAGTAAATTAACTTTTATGGACTTTGATTTAAAAAAAAGACTAAAGTTTTTATTTTGTGAAACCTGGATAGGCACATGAAAGGTGTTTCAGCTTGTAAAAATCCTACCACAACCTGATGGATACTGTGATAGAACACAAGAACAATTTTTCAAAGGGCTTACCAAGTACAAAGTTAACTATTAACAATATCCTGCATTTATATTATGCCTTTCATATTTATTACCTCATCCTCCTCCTCACACTACCTATATTTTGTATCTGAGGTAAGGACTCTAGAAATTAAATAGCTTGCCCAAGGTCACCAAACTAGTCTTGATATCTGAGACTCAAAGACATGCCTCTTGACTCCCAATTTAAGTGCCCTTTTTTCTATTTTATGCTCGTTCTCACAGTAATCAGATGAGAATCAAATAAATATATCCTTTCTCAGAGGCACTGAAGAGATTTAAACCGAATAATGTAATCATCAAAAAAGATGTTTCCAAAAGATCATTTTGTTTGCTGTGTGAGAACAGACTGGTACAGAATAAGAGTAAATGCAGGGAGATCAAACAGAAGGCTCTTGTGGTAATCGATGTGAAATGCGATGGTGGCCTAGGCTAGGGTTAAGGTATCTGTATATCTCAGTATCTCCAGGACAAATATGTCTGCTATCTCAGTATAGTTATTATCATAATGCTCCCTCTTTCACTCTCAAGTTCCCTAGTCTACATGATCAATTACAGAGTCACTATAGCTAAGGCAACAGCCATGGAGATGGAATGGAGCATGGCACTAGATCTCTGTAGTTTCTTATAGCTCTAAAATTCTATAACTCTTCGGTCTAAAATCTTGCCTCCTAACCTTTTCAAAGGCATGAATCTCTTTGAGAATGTAATAAAAGCTATGGTAGAATAATACAAGATCTTTAGTGTTACACTGGCTAAATCCATTTGCTACTTACCAGCTCTGTGACTGGTTTCCTCATGCTAATTGGTACTTATCTCAGGCTTGGGATGATTAGATGAAATAATAATGCACAGCTTTGCCACATAGGAAGGGTTCGATAACTTACTAACCTGCGGTGATGCTCTTTACTGCCCTGTTTATTACTGCCACAAAATTAGGAATGACCTTAAGTCCACGGATGAGGTTAAATAAGCTCT